TTAACATGATAAATCGTTAATTAAAAATATGAACCGAACTAGTGAGATTATGTGTAAGATTATTTTAAAGATCATCATTGTGAGTGATAAATTATTTAGTGAGATTATTGAAGAAGAAAACCCGGTATCAAGAATCCCGGATTATTTCAGATTGTAGTTAAATAACATTTAATGCATGTCTGGAAAAAACTGATTATTTGAGTATTATTGTTGATGAAGAGTTTTAAGCTATGGGATTATTTAAAATTTATTGAATAAATGTGTTGTGACAATGATGTGTGATAAAAAAATCATTTATTTAGAGAGCATGAATGGAGATGCTCTAACTCAGGGATGGATTTGGGGGGGGGGGGGGGGGGCGACCGCCCCCCTTGGACATTCAATTTTTTTTACCATATATGTAATATTTTTATAAAACTTTCATAATTTAATTAGATTCGCCCCCCTTAGCTTTTAATTTTCAAAATTAATATATATAGTCTTACATAATGTAATACTTAATTGGAGATTTAAAAGAAGAAACATCTAAAATAATTCACATAACTTAAACAAATAGACAATAGAGTAACTCGTTATTTAAGATTTAGGATACTTATTATATAAGAATTACTAGTTTTGTAATGTTTAATTATCTTTATTAGATAACAAGTACTGGATTTCGTAAAACATATATCAAACAATATTAAATACCAGACACACTAATTACACAATTTTTAGGTCACGTGAAATGAATCCAAAATATAAATATTTATAGACATTAGATTACATAATTCATTTACTTCTAGCTTTCTAAAAATAATTTATTGCATGGATAATAAACTCTAAATTATTATAGAATTAATAAAAATATTAAAATATAATATGCACCATATATATATGTGTGTGTATGTGGTGCATATTATTCTCAAAATAACAATCTCATACATACTAGTATACTACTATTGTAATATTAAGAAAACTTCTCATGAGTCATGACTCACGAACACCCTCCTTGGTGGACAAAAATTACAATTCAATAACTGATTCATGAGGTTAAACAATGTAGAAGTTATTAAAATGTATTGGTTGATGTCTTTGTCATCGTCTAAACTGAGAATGTAATAGATTTAAATGTCGTTCGAGATGTGCATGTATTAATGTCATTTTTTGAATAAAATAGCCACATAACCCTATAGTAGCGAAAAACTTTCGCCCCGCTATAATAGGGAATAAAATTTTACCCCGCTACACTAACAAAAAAAATCACCCCTACACTAACGAAAAATATCGCCCCTGCTCTAACTATTCAATCAGGTTAATTTTGCTGATTCATGGTTCCAAAGTGCTGCCCATTTTGCTAATTGTGCCCAAATTTTGGTGAAAAGAATGTGTCCCGATGCGTAGCGGGCCGGGAAATTCGTTAAGATAGTCAAAAGTCAAAAGTCAAAAGCAAACAATAACAAATGCACTGAGTTGCGTTATTACTTACTCCGTATTACGTACGTTTGTGGTTGAATATGACAGGAATTGCTGAAATTTTTTAATTCAAGACGTTAATTATCATGAGTTTTTTGTTCTGTTTTTTTTAATTATATTTTATTTCATTGCAATAATTAATTTTTGTGAAGAAAGTTTCAAAAAAAATTAATAATGAAATTAATAAAAAACTAAATAAATCAAAACTTATGTAATTTTAGCACTTTGTTTAATAGTTTTCTATTATTTAGTGTTATATACTGACACATTTTATCTTTCAAGTCTCATATAATTCATCTATCATTCGAGTACTGAATTGGTAAAATTCTTATTTTATTTTATTTCATTTTATTATAGAGTACTCCATGTTTTTTTAACAAAAGTCATAGTTGGACAAACAGTCCAAAAGAAAAATCAATCATAAATACATCTGATAATGATTAAATGTGCCCAAAATTTTTGACAAACAGGGAGCTTTAATTTCGCCTTACTAATATGCCAGCTCCGCCAGTGTTCACATGAATAATTTTTTTAAAAACATACCACAAAACTTTAGGGTGTAGCTCCGATTTTTCCTAGGGCGTGAGCCGCTAGGTTCGTTTTCTTCCGATTTTGATCTCATCGATCGAAGATCGGCTTTCTTGTTTGATTTGACGCTTTCGTACCAAGAAAGCAGGTGACCGGCGTGAGTCTGAGGGCTGGTTCGTGGTGTGAGCGATCGGAGTCTACTGCTTCGGTTCAGCTGAGGACGAACAAAGGGAAGAGTCCGAGACGGAGGTAGTCGATGGAAGATATTGTCAACAATTATAGGAAAATGGCTATTGGGGAGGCAGGGAATGAACTGAATTTCGATGTAGAAGATGCAGGGGAAGAGGACGAATCTGAGGAGCAGTTGGGGTTCCCGGTGACTGGAGTCGGTAAGCAGGGGATTGGAGATCAATTTCACGCAGCTGAGGAGAGCCGAGCAGTGCAAGGTACGGACAAATTCCAAGAGTAGATCAGCAGTGAACAAAAGGACAAGAACGAATTAGCGATTGATGATGAAGAAGAGGCGGTCGAGTCGGAGGAAAACCATTCTGGTGCAACAACAATCGTTACAAGGGTCCGACCTCCTCCAGAACCTCCGCCAAGGGTTGATCGACGCGTTTTGGAGTTTGCTTATTTATCTTTTCTGCATTTTAATTTCCAAGTTAAGACGGTTGTGTGTTGTTTTTATTTTATTTTATGCTGTAAGATTCTTGCATAAGGTTTGGGATATGAGAGGTCTACGGTAATCGTGTTTGCTTTATATTGCCCAAGTTATATTGCTTTATCAAATGTGATTAACTCAGAGTCTCGGCCAAGGACGGATGGTTACATGTGATCCTTTCATGTTCTTGTACCCCTGCTGAATGCTATTTTAATGATATAAGCATCTTACGATAAAAAAACATACCACATATGACGAGGCATACAACCAATTAAATTTATAAATTATAATACATCTAATTATTACGTCTTTTCTTTATAAAGTGATTGACTTAAATTTGATAAATTGAACTCTAGACATTATATATCTAGCTAGTGGTTTATACTTCCTCCGTTTTTTTAGTTGCAACTATCAACTTTTCACGTTTACCAACACACAAGTTTGACCATTAATAGATTTATTCCTCTTTAGTAAAAAATATGAAAAATTCAGAATTTGAATATTTAAAATGAGGGGAATTTAATAATATTTTTCAAAAAATTAGTTTATAATGTACTAGTAAACAAATTACAGTCAAAGTAGCATATGTGAATAATGCAAATTCTTCAATGTTGCAATTAAAAGAGAACTGAGCTAGTATATATTAACAACATATGCTAATGGACGAAATATAAGGCAATTAGATATTTTCTGATATTCTCCTGAAGCGTCTCTGAAATAGATTAATTATGTGAAAAAAGCCAAAAAGTGATTATACTTAAAAAGAAATTGCTTGAAATAAATAGGGGAAAATAATTCAAATACCCCAAACTTTGAATGGTTGTGAGATAAACAGTCCAAACTTACATATGTAATATAAATATCTCGAACTTTATATAAAAAGTTATGTTAGCACCATGATCATAATGCTAAATAGTTTAAATTGTGTACCAAACAACTAAAATTTACATTTTTGAAAGACAAAGTATATGGTCATGGTACTAAGATAAGTTTTTATATAAAGTTCCGGATATTTATATTACATATGTAAGTTTGGGGTATTTACCTCGCACCCCTTTAAAATTTGGGGTATTTAAATTATTTTCTCCAAATAAAAATAAAAACAATAGAAAATTTTGAAATAAGAGTATATATTATGTTTTTTATTCGCTATATATTAGTAATATTCTAATGGTTGGAAAATATTACCAATTACTCCGTATGTCACTAATAGTATCATAATGAATGTCTGCCAAGATATGGCAAGCATATACTTTCAAAATTGCAGCAAGGAAAAGTACTCCAATATTGGAATTTCTATTGTTTTTACTCAAAATTTTGAGAATTATTTCACTTAATATATCGTCACTGGGATGGTGTATAGTAAGTGTATAAAACTTAAAATATGCTCCCTTCGTGCCCTGAAATTTTGTCAACTTTCCTTTTTTGATTGTCTCATTCCTTTTTTGGTGTATCAAATTTTGTATTAAAATATGTCACTTTCCCTTTTAAGTAAAGAATTTATGGTTTCAGTTAATTCTCTCCTCTGCAAAAACCTAATCACGCACTTTTTATTTTATTAATTCTCGTGCTGGTCAAACTTGGTTAAGTTTAAAGGAACGGGGGTAATATTTAAATACTTATGATTAAAACAAGTTTTAAAAAATGTGACATGTTAAAGGTAGCGAGTATAGTAGTAACTTTAGATAAAGTAACTCGTGTTCAAATTTTACACCTATGTGATAACACATTGTGACCATAGTAATTCTAGTTAGAGAGTATGTTTTTAAAAACGAATTTTATTTCATTAATTATGTTTCATAACTATTCTATGTACATGATCAAAAAAATAATTCTATGTACTATTTCCTATGTCGGATTGTCTCATATTTCCTTTTTTGTTCGTTCCTCTAAAATTATTTTATACCGAAATTGAAAAGTTTGTGTGATTATAAATCATTCTTATTTTATTCTTAGTTTATCAATTCAATTGGGTCTGTTTGTTTTTTGGTTGTTTCACACCAAATCGCTGCAAAGAGCAGCGTTTCCCTTTGTAAAAAGTTGGTGGTTTGGCCTAAGCTCTTGATATCCAAACGGGGGCTTAGTGTGTACTGTGTAGTATATATGTCGAACCCAAATAATACCTCAACTTAGTTAAGGCCTTGATCATGGCAAATTCAACATAATAATTTTAACTAAAATTGGTAATTTGATTGCTACCTATAAAAAATGATTATCTGATCTATATACTATAGTTGCCGTGAGGTTAACGGCTCGGTAAACGGTCCTCGAACGACATTCATGAGGATGAGGTGATCCATTCTCTTTCTATAAATTAAATAGCATTACAGACTAAAATAAGTAATTAACAAGAGTAGTTTGAGTAATTACCTTAATTTCAAACTTGCGTTGCAGGATTATTTCTTGTAATTAAGTATTGAATAGACATCTAAATCATTTTTTCTGCCTCCTACATTCGACCAAATAAAACTCCACCGCAATATTTCAACTAATTCCTTCCCCATCCATTATCTGATATATAATGGAAGAGTCAAGATGGTATATTGCCTATGCAACTGCGTGGCTATGGGCTGCTGCACTCATTCTGCTAGCAAAGCATCTCCGCCGGAGAAAGCTTAATCTGCCCCCGGGGCCAAAACCGTGGCCGATCATCGGAAACTTGGACCTCATTGGTAGTTTACCCCATCGGTCCATCCACGACTTGTCGTTAAGGTACGGCCCCATAATGCAGCTCCGGTTCGGGTCCTTCCCGGTGGTTGTCGGATCCTCTGTCGAAATGGCCAAGACCTTCCTCAAAACCATGGACATCAACTTCGTTGGCAGGTACCATTAGTGGAGTAATTCATATTAGTACTACATGTTAGTTCTATTCTTTAATAAGTACTCCCTCCGTCCCATTAGGAGGTTCCAATTGCTTGACTGGCGATAAAACAATTTAATCCTTGTTCACGCTCTGATTATTTTTGATAAATAAAATTTACATATTCAGAAACTATATTAAAACCGCTACAAAGCCTGATAAAAAAAATGCAAGTTTGATAAAAATTTGATATATAAAGTAAAAGATTAAGAATGATTTAAGTTGACCATGTGAATAGTAGACGGGAACATTTAAATGGGACGGAGGGAGTATAATATGTTGACTTTTACACTAATCACACGTCCTAGTTTGACTATGTTTTATTTATTAATGTATAAATAAATTATTTTTAAAAAATTATTAAGTTTGTCTCATTTGTGAATCTTCAAAATCTGAATTTTAATAGTTTTACTAATAGAGATTACAGACATAAATATCCTAATACTCAAAATTTGATTGTGCATTTTAAACGGTGCACTTATTTAAAATGGAGATAGTAAGACTATAAAACATACTAGTACGAAGTAATACATCGATTTCTTAAAACGTTTTCGAATCTTTGATCAATAATGGAAAACTTTGGAAAATGGTTTTAATTAGTACGGAGTATAAATTTATGAAAGTTATTAATTTATACTTTTATGAATGTTTTTCTAACAAAACTATATATTTCTATATCACTTTTTGTTATACATAGAAAATAACTTCTTAGAAAAATATGAACTCTATTGTTAGTCAAAGTTTAACTTATTTTTGAAAAATTGATATAAAAACCCTCGACATCTTGTTCTCTCGCATTATGTGTAGATAGAATAGCTAGAACATGTATAATGTTTTTAAATGGACTTAAGTTTGTTGTCTGATAGATGGTCTAGTTTGTTTAGATCTGGTCAGAACTGGTCTGGTCTAGTAAATGTCTGATTTATGTGTATTTTATAACTATGAGAGTTTGGTTTGATCTGAACTGATGTGATCTAATCTGGTCTGATCTGTGACTGAAAACAGTTAAAAACATCCAATTTATGTACTCCGTATTGAGTTAATGGGCCAGCCCTAAAAATCTAATTCGTCCAATTTATAGGAGTTTGCCTAATGGGATTGGGATGACAACTATCCTAAAAATAGATAGGAATCAGTAGTATGTTCTACTCTAGGATATGATGTTTTGAATTAGTTGTTTTATTTTTTAGATAAAGGGTAATTATATATATCATCCCAAAGAGTTTATGTACAAGTAAAGCAAAGAAGAGAACAAAATTGGGGCTATCTTGAATTAGTTCTTTTAAAAGATACCTATTGCATGTTTGGCTAGCATAAGCTCATGTCTTCTGGCTTTTGTACTATATATTTAAAAAGTCTCCAAAAACTATTAGTTGTATGTTTGGTAGGGTCATTTTTAAGAGCTTTTTACAAAATAGAAGATCTTCTTTGATATGCTACATTGGGTAGCATCTGGAAAAAGACAGTTACTTTTAGCATTAATTAGTCACAGCAGTTTGTTATATCAAACAGAACTAAATAGAATAGTCATCTTTTTATCGAACAGCTACAACATTTTCGTTTTAATATTTTTCTTTCACTAAAAGCTAACAGTTATTAAAAGCTCATAAAAGTATCTTTTCAGTTAGTTGTGCCAAACACATCCATCCGTAGTACAAGCAATAAAAACTTTTCAAGTTAAGAGTGATTAATGACATTTGAGGTTCCTTAAAAAAATGACATTTGAGGTTACTTTATGCTAAAAAAAGTATAATGTGACTCTTAAAATATATAAAAATACCTTTAATTTTTAACTCGGGAGCAAATAGTTAGTGTACTAGTACTATTCAAGTATTCAATTTTGCTTAGGCCTATATAAAAAACCTTTAATTTTTTAAAACCATGATGAAATAATTAATGTACCATTCAATTCTGTTTAGGCCTAAAACTGCTGCTGGGAAGTACACAACGTACAACTACTCCGATATAACTTGGTCCCAGTACGGCCCTTACTGGCGGCAAGCACGGCGGATGTGCACGACGGAGCTGTTCAGTGCAAAGCGCCTCGACTCTTTCGAATACATCAGGAGCGAGGAGGTGAAATCCATCCTCTCCGACCTGCACAAAAAGTCATCATCGAATCGAGGACAGCCGCTAATATTGAAGGACTACCTCTTCACCCTTAGCTTGAATGTGATCAGCCGGATGGTGTTGGGGAAGAGTTACTTGAATGAGTCAGAAGGGGATGTGGTGAGCCCTACTGAGTTCAAGAAGATGATAGATGAACTGTTCTTGCTCAATGGGGTACTGGACATTGGAGATTCCATCCCATGGATTGCATTCTTGGATTTACAGGGGAACATAAAGAGGATGAAGGCATTGAGCAAGAAGTTTGATAGGTTTCTGGAGCATGTTCTTGATGAACATGATGGTAGGCGGGAAGCCGAGGGGGAGGGGTTCGAGGCCATGGATATGGTGGATGTTTTGCTCCAGCTTGCTGATGATCCTCACAATGAAGTGAAGCTCGGGAGGAACGGAATCAAGGGCTTCATACAGGTTTTTATTAATCCTTTTAAACTAAACTCATATTACAAGCGATCATTGGACGGGTGGTGCGGTCACTAGTCAAGAGGTCACTGGACAAACAAGTCATGGTGGTCGGTTAATTACTGATGGCAATCACTGGCTGTGATCACTATAAAGTGGTGATCGCTACTCGGTAGCTGTCAAAATAAAACAACATGTTCAGTAACTATTTTGATGCAAAAGATAATTAGTAGTATAAAAAATGTACAATACAGAGTACATAACATATTCAGTTGAGTCAAGTGTCTTGTGGTTTGATGGCATCAACACTTCCAAAGAGGGAGTCACAGGTTCAAATCTCATCCCTATTCAAGGATGTTGACCTTAACGTACAACATATACCATAATACTCTGTAGATTAAGAAGATTTGTCAAAAACATATTCAGTTGTATAACTTGTATTTTATAACAACTTCGAATTGTAGGACTTGTTAGCTGGTGGGACAGAGAGCACTACAGTGACGGTGGAATGGGCAATCTCAGAGCTGTTAAGGAAGCCCGGGATATTTAAGAAGGCAACAGAAGAACTAGATCAAGTGATTGGGAAGGAGAGATGGGTAGAAGAAAAGGACATGTCAGATCTTCCTTACATCCAAGCAATTGTGAAAGAAACAATGCGATTGCACCCCGTGGCACCTATGTTAGCACCACGGGAATGCCGCGTGGACTCAAAGGTCGCAGGCTATGACATTCTCAAAGGCACCCGAATCCTGGTCAACGTCGGGACTATCGGAAGGGACCCCACCCTGTGGGACCACCCGAATGAGTTTATCCCCGACAGGTTCATCGGGAAGGAAATCGATGTGAAAGGCAGGGACTTTGAGCTATTGCCCTTCGGTGCAGGGAGAAGAATGTGCCCTGGATACAATCTCGGACTTAAAGTCATTCAGGCTAGCTTGGCTAACCTCTTGCATGGCTTCAATTGGAGCTTGCCCGATGGTTTGAGGCCCGAGGAACTCAACATGGAAGAGATTTTCGGGCTCTCTATTCCAAAGAAATTCCCGCTTTCAGTTATTGTTGAACCAAGGCTTCAGGTGCATTTCTATTCGTCCTAGGCTCCTAGCCATATATCTCTTATACGATTTGAAAACATCTGGAAATATACTTCGTATTCAATTATAGAGTGTGGAGTAGTGCACAATTACTGGACATTATAATGGATATTAATCATGGATATTAATGGACACATTAGCTTTAGTAGAAAAACCTAATATCATTACCGGGGATGATCTATGTATGGGCTATGGAGGGCTGGTGTTTAAGAGTAAATTAACTTTTTTTAATATTTTAATGTAAAATTATAAATTTCCATATTTAGCCAGTTAATTGATAACGTTTAAGTGTAGTATAATTGATCTTCCGCCCAGGACATCCCAGAATCCTAGATCCTATACATTTGACCTATGGGATTAGGAGTCCGTTTGGTAATACCAAAATCGGCCGAATCGGTTTATTCTGCTGAAATTAATGAAGTTCAATCTGAAGTGGTTGGATTGGTTTTTCTTCTCATTTATGAAAAAATGATACTTCGTATTTAAAATATAATTTATTAGTAAAATAAAGAAAAAAATATATGAAAAATAGCTAAAAAGGACTTCTACATTAACTTTAGTCAATACAGTCAGAAAATTAACTTCAACCTTATTTTTTCTTATTATTACACAATTCAGCATGCAGAATCAAAAGTTACATGTTTGGTGAAAAAGTTAGTTGATAAATCGAAAAATGGGACACCAACCGATTTATAGGCCAACTCGATCACTTTTTTGGTAATGAAGAAGAATGTTGATATTCTGTATCTAAGAAACATAGACATATAGTTTAGGGGTGGGTCGGTGAAACCGAAAACCGAAAATCGAATCGGAAAAAACCCGAACCGCAACCAAAACAACTGAATCGCAAGAAAACCGAAATCGAACTCAAAAAAACCGAACCGATAATTTTGTTTAGTTCTTAATTTTAAATTCTATAAAATTAATATTTTCTACTAGATTTATTATGATTTGTAAGATATTGACATTTAATATTTACGATTTATAATATGCTGATATTTTAAATTGTAATTTACATTTTACTTGTTGTTGCATGATAATGATATTTTGGTGATATAATATTTGTTATGTATGTTTGTTATCACATAATTTTTATATATATTGAACAAATAGTATTAAAATAAACTATATATACTTTAAACAACATAGCAAAAAACGTGAAACTTTAGACCATTAATAACTTTGTTTGTAAAGAAAGTAGAATAAGTTATTTACTATTAAATAAAGTCTTTTAGTAAAAAAGAAAAAGAATTGGTGGTCAGAACATTTACAAATACAATTTTAACTTGAAAATAAACTATATAACTCACAAATAAACTCATGCGATTAATTAATTTAAAAAATGTTTAAATTGGTATTCACATACTCTCTAATTCATTGCTTGAATTGTAAGTGCAGTTGTTTCATCTCTCCTTTTTTATTATGTTTTTTTATTGTATTAAAAATAATTATAATTTATTTTTTTGATTTTGTTTTCCATTTACTATTTTTTAAATCAACAAAAATAGTTTGGTAAAAACCGAAAAACCCCGTAACCGAACCGAAATAAACCGAACCAAACGAACCATTGTTCCAAATTTTTTAGCATATAACCGAACCGAACCGAACTGAACTTTGTACTTTGATTCGTCATTTGGTTTTAGGTGAAATCCGAACCGTTTGAACCGAACTCACCCCTAATATAGTTTTCTGCACCTGCGAATAATATTCTACATTGGGTATTATTATTATATATTATTATATCATGCATAAGATAGTCAAATGTATAGATTTTGGATGAAGTCATGACATATGATTTGTACCACTAGCACTAAAAATGTTAACATTCTGAAAGTATAGGGATCTTTGGTACTTGGTGCATGGTTGACACGATTAGTTGAATAAATATTTTTAACCTTTTAATAATTGCTAGCTTTTATTAAACTAAATGTTAGCTTTTATTAAATTTAATTTTATTAAATTAAAAGAAACGAACTTTTTCTAAGTAGCTTCTAAAAAAATTAGAGAATGATATAATTATTATACAAATAAAGATTACAGAATGATTACAAAATGAGTTATTTACTGTTTAGACATGTAAGAAAGGATTCAAAATCTCGATTCAATTTTAAAATTATGAATATTTATTAGTTTTATGTACAAGGACTTTTTTTACTTATTAGTTTTATACTTTTATATAAAATTTAATCCATATTAATGAATATTAGAAATCTTTAATAATCATTAGTAAATTTATAAATTCGCACTAAAATGATTAAATATTAAGATATACTATCTTCGTCCCTTTTTATTTAGTCATCTTTGACTTTTTTGGTCAAAGATGATAAATTTTGATCCATTATTTTAATAATGTATTAATGTGATACTTAATAAATTTATACTCTTATGGTACTATTTTGAGAAATTACCCTAAATAGGACTAAACACGTTTGTAACATCCAAAATAGGACTCATGTTTTTTTCCAAAAAATAGGACTAGTTACTGTCATGTTTTGGCAGTATCAGACTTTAAACATGACAATATTTTCCAAAGCTGGGAGTAATTACTCCTATTTTGGGAAAAAAAAAACATGGCAATCCAATTTTGAAATTTTAAATTTTTTTACTCCTATTTCGGGAATTTTCCCTAATATAAGATGAAAACATAAGGAAAGTGCAAAAATAGGACTAAATATGTTTTATTCCCCAATTAGGACTTATTTAGTCATATTAAAAGAATAAGTTAATTAGAAGTTCCTAAAATAGGATTGAATGAGTCATATATTAGGAATAAAACAATGATAGTCCTATTTGTGAACTCTGTCATTATTTTAGTCCTATTGTTTTAACAAAAAAACATTTTTCATATTATTTGCATATTATTAATATTACTGTATAATAAATACATAGTATATAATCATTCAAAGTTTAACTTCTTTGACTTGAAAAGTCAAATTTGGCTTAATAAAAGTGGTCGGAGGTAGTATATAATTTATTCCTATAATTTATAAGTTATCGAAATGCTCGAGTCCGGATCAAACTGATTAAACATGATTATGCTCGAATTCGGCTTGAATAACTATTCAAACTCAAATTCTAACCCGTATTCGAGTTCGAAGCTTATTAAGCTGGGTCATTAAATTAGATTTGAAATCACGCTCGAACCTTTGAAAAAAAGGTCTCAATAACAGTCCTAAGCTAAACTTTTTGTGTGCAGTAACAAAAAGTTTACTGCTTAGCCCACTCCAACCCTCATTCCTGGATCTATCCGACTATCCCTGTGTATAAGGCAGTCACTTATGTCTACAAATTATGAACTTATAGTAATGTTGTTAACGTACATTACGTACCAATGCATAGTTGCATCCTTTAATTGTTTAATTAAATAAGTGAAATGGAAGCAAGAAAGCTAGTGTAAAATCGGTGGAAGATGGATGATCTGATGAAATCAATTCCATCGAGTTAGGCATCAACTATTCCAAGGTTTATATGTCCCGCGTGATTTCATATGTAACGCCTCACTTCACATAAACTTATTTTAATTCTCTATAGTGAGTGTGTATGTGAACATGTTTACATGCATTAGATATTGCAACTCATATACTTTAAGGTTGAGAAACACCTAAATACCTAATGTTATGAAAATTTCTTGTATGATATGCCTAATGATTATTGCCTCACCCCCTCATGCTATGAAATGTGTGTTAAACTCTCGCAACCTCATCCCTCATGACATCTAATTATGGTGGCACATCAAATACGCATTCAAGAATAGACAAATCTCCCATTAAAATTTCTAATCTTAAGTTATACATTAACCGAGAGTCCGAGACACTCAACGAGAGTTCCTATTTTAGTATGTAAATGCATCATCATGATTACTATATGTTCTAGCCTTCGAGGTGCAGGACTCTACAATTTCAATGTTATTTTTAGAAATCGTGTACCTTCGGTGTTTACAAATTACAATTCGCTTCTAGTGTGGTAATATATTTAGAACATATATGGGTGTTGACCCGTGTTTGAGATAGGTGTGTGTAGCCCATTATATATCCTTATCTCGTATTTTAAGTCTTGGCTTAGTACATTCTTCGGAATTGGGCTTATATATTAATTAAAGAACTAATATTCTTTTTTCTACAACGCCGTGCATATTTTTAATTAAATACAATCTTGAAGGCAAGAAAGACATATGATTAAGATATTTATATCTGATTGTGCCTGTATATTGTGCATCTGATTTTATTTATTCATACCAATAAACTTTTTCTCGATATGTGGTTTTTTCAATAGGTACGTTGATTTGTGAGTGCACGAATCCGGCCTGTTGGGCTTTCAAGGCGACTTAGAACTTCATGAATAAAACCCACTTTACTTTGTATCTAAAACCCATTCAAATTGGTCTCGTAGGTCCAAGTGGACTGATTCCTTTAAATCATGTGGGCTGGTGGGGTGGCCTTTAGAATGTATTGTAATAAAAATTTGATAGAGTACGTAATATTCTCGTTTAGCTCTACTCTTATTGGCATATATGACTTTTTTTTTTTCACTATTAAAATTATTTATATAAGTTCATTTTCCATAGCATAGGACATTTAAACTTTAAAGTACCGTACCATAAGTTCACAACTTGACATAGCACAACCACGAAAAAATAAGTTACTCTTCATTATAGCATTGGTCTACGAACAACTTATTTGATAATCAAAAGTTGCTTTCAAGGTTATTAGTGTATAATGGATGCACATATCTTCAATTTTTTAAATAACTTTTATATAGTTAAACTCGTGTGCGCCACAAAATATTCTTATAGTACTCCGTATTATAAAGTAGGCATATAATTATTAACTTTGAATTCATTACTTATTTACTATATTATACGAAGTACTTTGTATATTTACAATATTTTGTTAATTTATATAATATGGTATATATGTGATTTGTACTCCGATTAATAATACAATGTTTGAAAGAAATACTTATTAAATACTACATCCGTTCTCTTTTAGTTGCAACGTAGGACTTTTTTCACTATTCACAGATTCTACTTTGACTACATTTTATTTATTAATGTATAATGAATTAAATTTTAAAAAAATATTTCTAAATTCCTCTCATAATAAATTTTCAAAAACTTTGATTGTTTTTTAATTTTTTTACTAATAAGAAATGAAATATATTAACGGTCAAACTTGTACGTTGGCAAACGTGTAAAGTAGTTGTTGCAATTAAAAAAGAACGGAAGAAGTACATCTTGTATATAAGAAAAAAGTGAGAAATCAGATTATTTTGCTTCATCAATAGTAATATTACTTGATACTTATCTACGAACCGCTTTGCTATCAAATTTTTAATATTACTTGATACTTAACGAAATCATGAAATCTTTTTATCCACGTACTAAAGAAACTTAGAAGTGTAACTGTATGTGTGGAAATACAATGGTTCCAAAAAAAAAATTAAAATCTCTTGTGTTATGATGAGTCTCTACTTTTGCATAAAATAGAAGTATTTGCTTTTTATATTAGATATCTAGATAAATTTATTTGCATGTATGATCATAATACTTAGAAATGGATTCTCTGTGTTTTAGATTCGCCTTCCCGGTCGAGAATGTGATGCGCGTGATCAATTAAAATGTACTCCGTAAAAGGGTTTGACACATTGTTTGTGTTCGATTGTATATAATCACACATAAATAACTAATGGAATATATATTAAGCCATAACATGTGAGCTTACAAGAAGAGAGTACAAAAGAAGCTAAGGGAAAGCACCCAAGAGTTTAGGTGTGGGATAAATGACAAGCAAAATAAATACAATAGAATAAACAATTATAAATGCTAACAGTTTAAATCAAAATGGGGTCATGTGTATAATTTATATATTAAGAAGGCTATCAATATTCACAAAATTTAAGAAATATTTATAATTATATACGAGTAATAAAATCATATATGGAGATTTAAGTACAAAGACTAACTCGGCCACGCCTGAACTAAATATTACTCCGTAGTTACTTAGGATGTTTTTACTTGGACTGTAATTTGCTGGTCTGGTCTGGTCCGGTCTGGTCTGGTTTCTTTGTATTTTTATAACTATCCAAGTCTGGTCTGATCTGATCTGGTCTAGTCTGGGACAAATTACAATCCAAGTAAAAACATCCTTATTATAAAGCACATATACTTCCTTAATTATTTCTTTGATAAAAATTACTTGGATTTTATTGGTCTTGGACATGACAAACGTACGGCTATAGAAGTAGACGGGGCGGAGTCAGGGCACTGGGCCGGTACAAAGAATATTTTTGGAAATTTTTAACACGGAATTTTTACACTAAAAATATATGCATTTTTTAAATTTTGGCTGGGTCAGGGTCATGCTTGGCCCTGCCCTAGCTACACCCCTGGAAGCTATGTTGTCAAAACCGGACCGGGAGGCGACCCGGGTCAAGGGGCAACCCGGACCCGGGAGGGTCAGCCCGGTCAACGAAGGTAAACCCGGTCAACTTTTATTAAAAATAAATTAATATATATGTATATATAATTATATGAAAATATAATTATATAATTAAATATGTATGCTAAAAAGTCACTTTTTGAAAATGTAATAATGATTATGAGCTTAAATTAGAAATTAATGTGCCAATATGTAAAGTTTATTTCTAAAAATTTAAGATTTGTTTAGAATTAGATGAATAACATTTGAACATAATATTTATATTTAAAAATTAAAAATATGATTGAAAGATCAAATGAATAATTTTAATAAAATAATAGAGAGAAATAGGAAATAATAGTTATTATTAGGATAATAGGATTATTAGCTTATTTTATTCCAAACTATCATCAAATTCACAAATATATCCCATTATTTCACTTTTATCGATAAAAGACTTAGAGTTCATCTTTCTCAACAATTATGCTTTTCTATTTTGTTTTTTCAAAATTACACATTTTTATCACTACTAATAAGATATAAGCAATACGAGCTTATAGACTTAAAATTAGAAAAAAGTGAAAAAATATGAAATATAAATATGATTTTCTTCTTAAATTTTAGTAATTCTTCCATTGAAAGTGTAATTGTGAGAAAAGTTAAATTTTGAATCTTTTTTAGATAAAAGTTAAAGTATGAGATAGATTTGTGAATTTGATAATAGTTGGGGATAAATTTAGCTAATAATCCTTATTATTATGATTACTAACTAATAATCAATCATTGGAGTATTAGCCTACAATCTTATTCGAGCATAGTATAAGAGAGCTAAAAGGAAAATCTAACCAAACAGCAAAGCAGTTGAGATGGTCTGGTATCCGCATGGGTAAGTGAAGTGTCTAGGGTCCCAAACCTCCTGAAGCTCTGATTTTCGAAGAAGGAATTGGAAAAAACTATTGTTACACATTTTTTGTACACACAATTACACACTCGTGTCTGTGAAGTCTTTTGTTTTGTCTGTATACAGACACAACTCACTTCACAGACACTTCAAATGTGTTGTGTCTGTATACAGACAAAAAAAACACTTCACGAGTGTGTACAAAAATGTGTACCTCAAGTCTGGTTGAGAAGGGATTACCTTCAGCGGTCGGGTTTCCTTCCATTGCCGGTTTTCCAGCGTTTCGGACAAGTACAAGAGAAATTACTTTGTAGATAAAGTTAGGTGATGTCTGATAATGGGCGTGTTTGGCATTCAGCGGTTAGCGAATAGCGGGTATGTTAGCGGGTTGTCAATAGCGAATTCAATCAGCCGGTTTGACTACCGGAATAAATTGGCGGATTGTCAGAATATGTTTGGTAATTTAGCTGTTTGCTAATAAAATTAATAGAAAACGTCATTTTTCAAAACGCCAACCCAAAACTCTCATATGAGTAGAGTTTTCATTTTAGCGTTTCCGGCCAAAAACGCTAATGCCGAACAACTACTTACCGAACAACTTTTTCACTTGTTGAAAACGCTAAAAGTGGTCAACCCGTTATTTTTCGGCTGAAACGCCGTTTCCCAAACACCCCCAATATGCGAAATAATTAGTTTACATGCAAAAGTATAGATGTAAAAAAAAATGATATCATCTAATTGGTATTTAATATTTAAAGTAAACTTTACAAAACCTTTTAAACATTGTGCATTATATCATACTCCGTATAAAATAATTTATGTGGAGGGAGGACATGCAGTAAAAGATTTTAATTGTTTTTTTATAAAGCACTACAATGACATAACATCTGATTTAAAAACATATTACACGCCTAAACAAATAGTGTATTTTTATTTTGATAGTTGCTTTCCCTAAACTTTACACATAAGAAAAAAATTATATACAAGCTGCTAAACAAGCCCTTAAGGTTAACATTTTTGGCCCCCTATCCTCACATTCTGCCTCAGTAGTGCCTCTGCCCTGGCTACTTTGAAATTGCAAAAGTTTAAGCCAAAAAATGATATTTGGTGCCACGCGAGCTGAGGGATATTGAGAAGTATCTTACTCTTATTGGTGTATTGAATTATATTTATACAATAACGAATATATAATTACATTTTACAAATTACGTACATATATTATTACCCCCAATTAAGGATGAATTATTGACTCATCATCAAATATTGGGATGTACTCTCCTTTGCTCCTTGTGCTTATTAGTTCCAGATTTTGGCTCTTTCCTAAAAGCTACGTATAAACTAGTATCAGAATATGTACCAGAACCCTCAATCCCAAAGGAACAACCCCTCTGCTGATTTTCTTTCTTTCTTTTATCTCCATGCATTTTTTCTGTACTATTTGGTCCTTCTAAATGATCAGAAGGGACAATGTAAACAAAAGGAGCAATTGGTATTATCTTCAAGTCCAAGACTGCCTCTAATGTCTTAACCACATGGTTCATTGTTGGTCTGGACTTCGGGCAGTGGCTCAGACACCGGTGAGCCAATGCAGCCACCATCTTGGCACCACGGAACGAGTACTCAAATTCGAGCCTCGGGTCCATGACCCTGTCGAGCTTGCGTGAGTCCTTCAGCATAGGCTTAGCCCAACTCACTAAGTCCTGGTTGTTACTCAGACTCCATTTGTCTGCGCTACGACATCCTGTAATGAGTTCTAATAGAACCACTCCGAAGCTGTATACATCGCTCTTAGTTGTCAATTGGCCTATGGTAAAAAGTAGAAACAATTACAAAATAGCATTAGAGATATGTTTTAGTTTGATCATTTACATTAGTTTGATATGGATAGGCGGATAGCTTAACATTATTTGCACCTGATTTAACATACTCCGGGGCTGCATAACCTTTGGTGCCCATGATACGAGTTGTGGCAAGTCCTTCATCTCTTCCCGGACCATCCTTTGCTAGCCCAAAATCAGAAAGTTTTGCAACATAATCCTGAAATTATTATGTGTATCAACCCGTTAAGAGCGATTTCTTATATACTGCATACATAGTATGTGTTACCTATTCCAAGATTGCACATCATTAAATGGGGAGGGGGGAGAGATTTAGTGAAGTAAAATTACAGAGTCAAGTAAAATGTTTGCAGCTTTGAA